TCCAGTCTGGGTGACAGAGTGAGACTCCAACTCAAAAAAAAAAAAAAAATGCAGCCAAAGTTAAAACTGCTTCCAGAAGAATCCTGGTGAATTCCCAGACTTGAGGTATGGTGGGGGCGTTGAGTAATGGTGTGGCTTAGTCCTTTTTCTTAAACATGGTACAGAAAATTGGTTGTTAGGTTACCCAGGAACAAATGGGGAGGAATGAGGGCCTAACATGAGAAAGCGTGATTGGGTGGGAGGACGAGGAGAAATGGCTGCGGAACCCCGATGGAAACTCTAAAGTTGGCGTGATCCCAATTCCTCTAATAAAGATGGTATCCTTACTGTTTAGTTGCAAAGCAGTGATACTTCACTAGCAAACAATATGTCCCCTCCCTCAGCTCACATGAGTCACTTGCCTTAGTCAAGAAAAAAACAAGTATATTATCAGAAGCTAGCACTTGTTTATCTGATAAGATCTTTCCCCAGAAGACACGAAATTTCTGCAACTTGGCAAGTTGTCTAAAAGGAAGTAGGACATCCAAACTCCAATCCTGGCTCTGCTGCCTACAGATCAAAATGCTAGTGTTAGACGTCTATTGGTCTTAGAATCTCAGTCTAGACAGTCAGTGAGATTGCTGTGACCTACAAGTTCAGATTTCTGAACTGGACAATTTGGGGGTGCGGAGAAGTATGTTATTCCAGTTTTCGTCCCTTAAGTTTTATCAGTATGAAAACATCAGTCACTGATGTGCTTCTAGTTTGGTAGTCTAAACAATTTTGGTTTTTTTTCCCTAAAGAATTAATCAGAATGGTTTACCTTAGATTTATGATAATGGCTTACATTTACTGAGTATGTGCCAAATGTGCTATGCTTTTTTTTTTTTTTTCTGAGTCAGAGTCTCACTCTGTCACCCAGCCTGGAGTGCAGTGGCATGCTCACAGCCACCGCAGCCTCAACCTGCTGGGCCCAAGATCCTTCTGCCTCAGCCTCCCAAGTAGCTGGAACTGCAGGCATACACCACCACGCCCAGCTAATTTTTTGATTTATTATAGAGACGAGGTCCTACCTTGTTTCCCAGGCTGGTCTTGAACCTTTGGGCTCAGGCAATTCTCGCCTTGGCCTCCCAAAGTGCTGGGATTACAGGCATGAGCCACTGTGCCTGGCCTGTGCTATGCCTTTTATATGAAAGGGACTGTCAGAGGTTAAAGAACCTGTCTAGATGTGGTGGTCATGGTAATGAGCCTCTTGGGTCTCCAACTGTGGGAGCATAGTTGAATGCTGTCCCAGCTGTCAAGTGCTGAAATCCATTACTGCATTCATGCCAAGGCCACACTTCCTAAGGGTTGCTTCCAGCCAATGACCGAGGATACCAGGGGTACTAAGACAGGTCCATTTCTGGGAGACTCAGTGACAGGAAGTTTCACATGAGGACTCTGGTAGCCTTGACGAAACTTAGAATCTCAGTTTAAGTTCAGTCTTAGATGTTTCCAACCAATCTTCCTTTCCTCCCTCCCTCTACTTCATAGTGTTGGACCTGCATCGTGGTTGGATGGCTTTCTCATCTGCCCCACTTTCCCTACGGCTGTTACCCTAATAAATCTCTTGCGTAGGCTGGGCATGGTGGCTCACACCTGTAATCCCAATGCTTTGGGAGGTGAAAACGAGGATTGCCTGAGCCCAGGGGTTTAAGAACAGCCTGGGCAACTTGGCAAGACCTCATCTCTAAATTAAAAAAAAAAAGTTAGCCAGGCATGGTGGTGCACACCTGTAGTGCCAGCTATTTAGAAGGCTGAGGCGGAAGGATTGCCTGATCCCAGAAGTTAGAGGCTGTGGTGAATCGTGATCTTGCCACTGCACTCCAGCCTGGGCGACAGAGTGAGACTCTGACTCAAAAAAAAAAAAAAAATCAGCCGGGCTCGGTGGCTCAGCCTTGTAATCCCGTGCCTTTGGGAGGCTGAGGTGAGTGGATGGCCTGAGCCTGCGGGTTCGAGACCCGCCTGGGCAACCTGGTGAGACCTCATCTCTACAAT